CATGTTTGATGGGCGTGTAAGGATGACTGATGATTTGTTTTCTGTTGCTTTGTCTTGCTTTCGATGAACGAACTAGGTTTTTTTCGGACCGGAGTTAATGATTTTAATCTGCCCACTCATTTTTTCCTCTCTTTCTTTCTCTTAAAATTGAGATGTAGAATTTGTTGCACAAGGACGTGGTTAATTCATCCATACGTAGCTTTCTAGAATGCTATCGAAACTGGACATTACCAATTTACAATGACAATGAGTTGTTTGAGTGGAGGAGAAAAGAAGTACTAAGGAGGTAGGAGGATGTGCGGAGCCGAGAGACCGCAAGGGGAATGTGGAGGAGACTGACGTTCGAGGGTGCTGGACATGTCGCAATTTGTGTGCTGCGCATCAATCCACATCACCGGGTAACTTCCTGTAAGTATCTGGAATGTTTTCCCCAAGTTCAAAAAACAATCGGACTTTTGACTATTTCACGCTCTTTTTCCGATAGAAAGAGGTCAGCAGCATCCGACTGGCTGTGCTCTACAATTAAATTGGGACTTAAATAATTTATATATAGACCCAAGGGTCAGTGTATCATTTGCCTGTTACTCCTCAGTGCTAGTAGTGCTGTGGCAATTTACTCTCTATACACACAGATACATGTGCTGGATATGTAAGTTGTAAGTGCTTGTAAGTGTAGCTTGACTTTTAGTTAGTCTACTTGTAACTACACATGTAAATCAATATATAAACAGTGCTTGAGTGTAGAGTTTAGGACATTCTTTTCCCCTTGCTTGTACTTGACTACTAGTGAAAACAGTCAGTACTTGAGTAGTCTAGAATAAAGAGAATCTTTAGTGTAAGGTGTATTAAGCTACCTTACATATTTTTGACTAAACACACTACTTTCCCCATCTATTCCTCTTGAGTACTATTACTAGAACCTAGGGACTAATTACTTTAAACATTCTGTACTGCTCAGGAATCTTTATTTCATTTAGTAAGTAACATTACACTGTTTGAGTAAAGTACAGTAACTAAGACATTATACATACTTTATAACTGTAAGTATGTATATAATGTATATAAGAGAGGACACTCTTAAGTGTACTAAAGGAATATATTGTTTGGACAAGCTAAAGTACAACTATCCTTAAATGTGTAGAGAATTAAACAAGTATGTAAAGAGTTCTTTAACAATGGATAACAAGATTTTATTAATACATTTAATAATAATGAGTCAAGTACTACTTTATAAGCTAGTCCTACAGATTCAGTAGTTTTATACTCTACTCTTAACACTTTAAATAGTAAGTCCTTGTCTGTAAAGGGCTAGAGGTAAACTAGAGAGTATGAAACATATATAAAGTCCTTACTTGTACAAGACTTAAGACTACCTGTATTAGTAGAACAGTATTAGAAAAGTACTAAATACTGAGTGTAATGAGTCTAGGTTTCTTAAGAACACACAAAACTGACAGGACAAAAGTATCTTTGTTATAGTCAGAAACAAGAACTACTAATATATAAGACACACTTTTGTTATAGTCAGAATAAGAACTAGTATAACAAAGGTAAAGATACAAGCTATATATACTAAGATTAAAGGGAAAGTAGCTTAGAACAAATGAAAGTGTAACACAAATGGAAAAAAAATCTATATGTATAGTTTAAGTACTACTCTATAAACTTGTAACTAGGAAACATGTTTCTAAGACAGAAATGTATAACTCTAAGACTGTACAAGTCTAGAAGGAGTATAAAACTGTTATAAGTTATAAGGTAGATTTACACTCTTTCCCTCTCTAAAAAAATAGTACTTGTATACAAGTGTAAGACTAACTACTACTATAATACCTTTAGGGCAGAAGTGTAAAGCTCAGATTCTAATTTCTACTCTTATCCTTATTTACTCTAACCTTTCTATTCTACTAAATACTACTACTTATAATTTCTATATTGTTTATTTATAATGTGTAACACCTTATATACTTTCTCTATTCCTTCTACTAAGTCTAGTTAGTCAAGAGTATGTTTTAAGAATAAGACATTATTGTTTAGAATCTAATACTTTAACTAACTAGTATAGAACTCTAAAAAGGTTTAATTTGAGTTAAGTAGTTCTAGTATATATTCTAACTTATTTAAATTAGTTATAATAATAAAATACAGACTATTATAGTAAGGTATAAACTTTATAACACAATCTAGTGTTTATACTAAGTAATCCTAGTAGTAATTATATATAGAGAGTATTACTTAGTCTTTAACTTAAAAACAGTCTTTTATAGTTTAGTATTAATTAGTATAGTAAGTCTGTTATGTCTTTACTACTAGTAGTGTATTCTATACTTCTGTTACATTCTAATAAATATAAAACATAGAATCTACTATTTATACTTTTAAATAACTGTTCTAAATGTAAGACAAGAGGTAGAACTGTTTATAATAAGTATTTATATTATAACTAGAATAGAGAGTATTCTGTAAACATATTAATAGTATTTATAATACAAAAACATACTTAAGAAAAGTAAGAGTATTAGTCTTACTATTACTAGTTAATATAAAAACAGAGGAGTTAATTTACTATTTTATTATTAAGTTTTTATATTTATTCAAGCTTACTTTTTTATTTTCTTATTTTAGAACTACTTATTATTCTTTAATTCCTTTTATTCTTAATATTTTATCTTCTACTTTACTATGTCTTAAAACTTGAGCTTGAATACTAAGCTTATGTTAGTGTGTTAAGGTTGCAAATATTCCTAAATAATAGGAAATATTCTTCTGTAGGTTTGTACACTACTTAGAATGATACTAAGAGTAAGTCACACTAGTAGGAGTTTAGTAGACTCTACTCATAATGTATAAGTGTTAATACAAGTTGACTGTATGTATATTCTCATAAGCTTTATTATCTGTAGATTAAAGTAATATATACTATCTAATATCAGATGTCTTGAATGTATGTCTTAAAAGACATGTCTCTATAATAGTATATATTTGTAAGACATTTGTATAATTTGTGTTAGGGGAGATGTGTTCTCTAGGTTGATAGTACTCTCAAACTGTAAATGTAGACCTATAGTCCTGATCAAACTATATTCCTAAAGCTACCAGCTAGGATTTATACTAAGAGAACAAGTAAGAGTATGAGAAGAGTCAAAAAACTAAGAAACTACTGTATTTACAGACTGTTTTTTATAATAACTAAATAACAAGAGTAAAGTAAGGAATGAAACTTGAGAATAAGATAAAAGAAATAATAAGGACAAATATTATAAAGCTAACAGGTGTATCAGAGGCTAGGAAGAATTAACAGAGTATTGTACATTAGAGAATATAGGCTAAGAGACTATTATATAAGAAAGACACAAGTTACTATATTAGACAAGAAATGAATTGGTTGTGTTATAATTATATATACTGTCTCACATCTCTATAGCTCTCTCCTGTACTCAATACTAAGCTAATCTCTATGAAACTTTGTAAGACAATAGATAAAATGTTAAGGATTATGAAAATCTAGTACTAATGTTGGTTTTTCACAAAACTGACAGAGATATGAAGAAAATGAAATAGGTCCAATCCTATAATCCTAACATTACCTCTCTCCTTAGGTTGTACATCCTGAACAACTGAATTTAGAGGCTATTTTACTTAAGTAAAGTGTTAAAGTCTTTAAAGGTTTCCTTTAGAATGTTTAGTTGTCTTAGAGTATTAGGATAAGCTTTGTAAAAGTCTCTAATAGTATTCTGAGTATGAGTAAGGTCATTTTCAGACTACTAAGTTGTTTCCTAGTATTCTACCTATTTGATAAGGTACTAAAGCTTTCCCTTATAGAGTTAAGAGTTAAGGATAGTCTTGACTTTTTATTTAATCTTATTATTTACAAGTTTAGAGGGAGGAGGAGGAGGAGGAGCCTTCTGAATGTTAAAGACTTGAGAAACATATAGTTTAAGCAGAATCTTATTAAACACTAAGTGAATCAACTATCTATAAGGTAGTTTGAGTTTATATATACTAGCTCTAACCTTTAAGTCAACCTTAAAAGGACTAAACTACTTGTTATTAAACTTCTTAGTAGGTCTAGTAGTCTTTATGTTCATTGAGTCCAAATACACTATATCTTTTAGCTTATACTATATAGAGGGGCTTGAATAATAATTATAGTACTTCTTTATAGTTTTAGCAGCTTAGTCTAAGCTTTTCTTTACAAGTTTCTAAACATCTTTAATGTACTTAGCTTATTGTTAAACA